TACTCACAAAGGACCATACCCATCTCCTGTCCCCAAGCAAATAATCCCCTTTTTGTTTTGTGAGCTGCTCTTAAGACTTTGTCTTGAGAGCCACAGAGCCACCACTCTGAGTACACAGGGACAGAGAAAAAGAAAGGGAGAGGGAAAAGGAAGGGAAATGGCCCTTGTAGTTCTCCCAAGCAATCCTTTCTTCAGTTACCCTGATACCTGCCCTATATGACTCTCAAGTTTGTAATTTCTCCTGGAGCTCCACTGAAAAGTATAGCTGACTCTTTCTATCCATTTTCTCTAAACTGGCTTTGCCTTGTGTTTATTCTGCTGTGATTTCTCTACCCATCCAACCCAATCCACTCTTTATCCTTCAGAAATCCCTCAAAACCTCTGGCTGTCTTATGGCACCTTATTGTGTTCTCTAGCACTCTTAGATTTTTGCTTTTTCTAATATGTTTTCCCTTGTTTCATGTACCACGGCGATACACAGTAGGTATAATCAATGTCTTCTGAAGAACAGACAAATGTACCTGTGCTAAAATGGAAAGATGACCATGATGCATTCACTCATTCATAAATCCATTCGTCCATTCAATAATTTTTAACAGGATCTGCTGTGCATTAGGCATAGTTCTAAGCTTTGGGAAACAGCAGTGACAAAACAAAATTCTTCTTTTCAAGGAGCTGATACCCTAGAGTATCAATAGGTTTTTTAAAAATACAAGTTGAACAGTATTAATGACGCAATAACATCTTTGTGTGCAAATGAGTGTACGTACACCAGGGTGTGTGAATGTGTGTGTGTGTCTCCTTTCAGATATACTCTTCAGGGGATGGAATAGGAGAAGCAACATATGAGAAGGCTTCTTTTAACTGCCTTTATTTGTATTTCTATATTGTTCATTTGTACAACTGATTCAGGCTCTGTTCTAGGCAGTTGGGATACACCATCAAACAAAGCAGGTAAGCATTTCTGCCTTCCTGGAGATCATGTTCTAGCAAGAAAAGTCAGATGCAAAACAATAAAAATAATAAATTAGTATCTGGGGCTTCCCTGGTGGTGCAGTGGTTGGGAGTCCGCCTGCCGATACAGGGGAGACGGGTTCGTGCCCCGGTCCGGGAGGATCCCACATGCTGCGGAGCGGCTGGGCCCGTGAGCCATGGCCGCTGAGCCTGTGCGTCTGGAGCCTGTGCTCCGCAGCGGGAGAGGCCACAACAGTGAGAGGTCCACGTACGGCAAATAAATAAATAAATAAATAAATTAGTATCTTACATAATATATTAGCAGGTGATAAGGACTATGGAAAAAATAAAGCAGACTAAGGAAAACTGTAGGTATGATATATGGAGTGAGCAGCACTGGGTTGTAACTTTGTGGTAAAAGTAGGCTTCATTGAGGAAGTAACATTTCAGCAAAAAGCTAAAACAGAGGGCTGTACTTGAAAAGGGATGGAGAAAGATGCTCAACATTGCTAATTATTAGAGAAACACAAATCAAAACTACAATGAGGTATCACCTCACACCAGTCAGAATGGCCATCATCAAAAAGTCTACAAATAATACATGCTGAAGAGGGTATGGAGAATGGAGGAACACTTCTACACTGTTGGTGGGAATGAAAATTGGTGCAGCCACTATGGAGAACAGTATGGAGGCTCCTTAAGAACTAAAAATAGTAGAGTTGTCATATGATCCAGTGACCCCACTCCTAGGCATATATCTGGAAAAGATGAAACTCGAATTTGAAAAGACACATGCACCTCAATGTTCACAGCAGCACTATTCACAATAGCCAAAACATGGAAGCAACCTAAATGTCCATCGACAAATACCACTTATATGTGGAATCTAAAACCTAACACAAATGAACTTGTTTACAAAACAGAAACAGACTCACAGACATAGAAAACAAACTTACGGTTACCAAAGGGGAAGGGGGGAGAGAGAAGGATAAATTAGGAGCTTGGGATTCACAGATACACACTACTATATATAAAATAGATAAATAACAAGGATTTACAGGGAACTATATTATCTTGTAATAACCTATAATGGAAAAGAATCTGAAAAAGAATATATATATACATATATATGTGTGTGTTTGTGTGTGTGTGTGTATAATCAAATCATTTTGCTGTACACCTGAAACTAACACAATATTGTAAATCAACTCTACTTCAATTCAAAACAGAAAAAGAGACAGTATTTTAAGCAGAAGACAGTATTTTAAGGAGGAGACAGTATTTTAAGCAGGAGGGAGAACAGATGCAAAAGTTTCAGTGTGGAAGTGAGCCTGGCGTGTTCCAGGAACAGCAGGGAGCTGCTGGGCCTGGACAGACCAGCTACAGGTGACAGAAACAAGAGGTGAAGCCAAAGAGGAGTTGGAGGTGGGAAGCTGGTGCAGAGAATGGCCCTTTAGATAAGTGTAAGGACTTGCTTTTATTGAGAGAGAATTTGGGAGCCACGGAAAGGTTTTGAGAGGAGTGTAATTACCTGACATATTTGGAAAGGGTCACTGGGGCTCCATTAGAATAGACTGAAAGGGGAGGCAGAGGGAGAGGCAGGGAGACCAGCTCTGTAATCATCAGTAGATGATGGCGGAGGCGACAGCCGTAGACTTGCTACAAAGCAGTCGGATGAAAGGTACAGACAACAGAATTTCCTGATGGGTCTGACATGGGATTCGGAAGATCAAGGATGCCTCCACAGCCTGAGCAACTGAAAAGCTGCCATCAACTCAGTTCAGGACTATGGTGGGGGGAAGAGGCGCTAGGGGAGAGCAGCAGTGGAGATCAGGAGTTCAACTCAGAACCTGTTAGACTTGAGATGCCATTTCGGTATCCAAGTGAAGATGCCAGGAGGCAATGAAGTTTGGGAATCGAAAGTTCAGGAAAGAGTTCTGGGCTGGAGATTACAATTCTGGAATCAAGAGCATGGATATATAGATATAGATATATAGATATAGATATATAGATATACTTCAAACATCTGAAAAGACCATTGGGAAAATTGACCGATAATTTTCCCACCTCCCACATTGAATTTTCAATCTCTCTGAACACTTTGCCGAACACAAGTTATTGAGTGCTGACTATTGCATGTGTCCCCTCCCCTCCACTCCCTCTGCCACTTCCCTCCTTCGATTACCTCTCACCCATCTCCCCTCCGTTTCCCAGGGCGTCCCACACCCAGCTACCAGACCAATGTGACTAAAGCACGCCTGGGATCTTGCAGTAACTCCTTGAGGACTACTTGTCTCCTGATGAATTAAAGGACAAAACGCTGAACCTGCCATCACAATCTCATCCTAGCCCACCTTTACAAACCTACGACTCACTAGTCCCCTTCATATACACCATGCTCTTCACACTATTCCTGTGGGTTCTTGCCTCAGTGCCTTGTGTATCCTCGTTTCGCCACCGAAAATACCTTTCCTCTGCTTCCCCGCCTGCCTGAACCCTGCCCATCATTCCTGGCATAATACAAATGCTACCTACTTACCTTCAGTTGACTGCCCCATCTGAAGGTAACCTTCCCCACTCTGACCCTCCACTCTAGGGTAGGGGGAAGAGCATGGCATGGGCAACAGTTCCCAAAGTGAGGGCAGCAGGACAGATACCAGCCCCCAAAGAAATTCTGGGAATAAAGGGCTCTGTGGACAAACAGGTTCAGGTAATACTCCACACTACAGCCCTCTCCTAGAATTTTACATTATATATTCACATACTGAATGCTCTCAATAAACATATATATATATATATATGTTTTATATATAAATATATATATATATTTTTAATCCAACTTTCATAAATGTATTTGAGTTTGGAACCCTTTTGTCCCAGAATACTTAACATTCCATGGAACTAGTGTTCCAAGGTTCTCACATAGTACTTGGACCTAGAGACCAGAACTCTAGCCCTGATAAAGCATCTGGCAGTGTTGGTTCTTCCCAGGCCCAGAAAAGGCAATTGTGTACCTAAGGTCCCCAGACTTCCCAACATCTATGGGACAACCACACATCCCAGGACTGGAGTCTCCTAGGCACTGACATTAGTCTAGTAGGTTTAGACACATGCCCCTCTGGTTCCTAAAGATTAATTGGCTTATTTCCTCCACAATGACTTATGGCTGCATGGGTTATGATGCCAAATTACAGCTGTGTGATTTATCAGATCACCTCTCTTTATGGACCTCAGTTAACTCATCCCTTGCTGAGTCACTGGCCGGATGGTGTCCAACATTACATCCAACTGTGATGAACTGACTCTTCATGTCCTTCTTTGAACTTCACCTACCTCCACACACGACCTGTCTTCCCTACTGCCCCCTAAAGAGGGGTCTCTTTCCACATTTTTTTTTTCTCTTTCATAGTAGAGGACCTTGAACATGATTGGAACTCAATAAATACATGCTGTATAAACATTTAAAGATGACAGACATTTAAGGCCCTCAAAAAACTCAAAATTAGTCTTTGAGATGATGGGAAATTCAATGAAATCTAAGAAGTGAAATGATCTGGTCAAAGCAGCAAGCACTATGGAGAAAGGATCCTGTATCATTTTCTAGCACTGAGACTAGCAAATGAGCATGGACAAGAACAACCAACATTGGACATTTACTGTGTGTGACGTGCAGTTCACAGCGGCTCACATGCTAGAATCCTCATACCAACCCTATTTGGGGGGAGTGGGGGTACCATTTTTCTCCCCACTTTACAGATGAGAAAACTGATGCACAGAGGGGCTAAGTTGCCTGAAGTCCCCCAGGGGGTAACTGATGTATTCCATTCCCAGCAGTCCAGCTCAAAGCCCCTAACCCCTGTGCTACCTGCCTCTTCCTTCCTGTCACCGGCATTTGCTCAGAGGTGCACCCTAACAACCCAGCTTATTATTCCCCAGGTGGAAACTGAAGCCTGGAAAGCCTTAAAGAATGCTCAGTGTCCCACAGCTGGCCTTCAGCCCACAGCTCTCTTTCTACAATTCAATGCTGATTCAGCAGCCTCACTCACTACAGTAAACATCACTGCCAGCCAACTGCTGAGAAGGGGCGCGGGCATGAAGAGGAGGCTGTGATTAGGGGACCATAGTGCTGCAGATAAAGAATTAAAGCTATCAATACACTGAAAGGAAGAGGTGAATTTGGCAGGGGGGGACACAATGAAGGAATAAGCAACAGCCCTGTGCAACAACCTGAAGGTTTGGGAAAGGGGTGTGAAAAGCCTAGGAGGTAACAGGATGGACAGGGAGACCCCGGGGGACGGGGGGTGGAAAGGCAGACAGGGAACAGCTTAGAAAGGACAGAAAAATCACATTATTTGTAACTGCATGTTTTTTCAGCACCAGCCCAAAAGTTGTAAAAAAACAGGCCTCACGAACCCAGGAGGTACAGTTTGGGATTGCAAAGGTTTCATCGGAGCAGCATTCATGAGAGGATCTCCAATAGCGTGTGTTACTTAATAGGCGCTCAATAAATGTTTGTTCCCATAAAAGAGACAAAAGAGGGAGATCTGAGGATCACTTTCATAAAGAGAAAGACACCTAAGGGAGTAGGTGCTCAATAAATATTATTTTTTAGCTGTGTACCATGAGAAGCCTGGAGAGTTGTAAAAGATTATCTGATACATTTCCAAACAGCCCTTTGTCTCTGATTTCAATTTTCGAAAATTTCCTGGGAGGCTGTGGAATCTCCCACAAGGGACTTTTAAGGACACATTCTTACAAAACCCACTTGGAGGGGTGGCTAAGATGCTTTAAAAATGGATGGGTGAGGTAGGGAGGCTGGACCAGATGACCCCGCAGACTTTTCGGGATGGACCAGGAGACACTGCCATCCCACCAACTGAGGATGGCTGAGTGATTTGGAAACCTTCCAGAAGGGCCTGGTTAAATTGTAGGCCATTTATTTCATGGAGAAATAAACCACTGAGAGCTTCCTTCAAACATGCTCGTGGAAAGCAGGACAAAATGCTGAGATTATCTGTTCAGAATGTGCTTTAAAAGAGCCCAGGCAGCACTCATTTATTTTTGAGAAAATATATGATTAACCATAGTTAACTATGAATTCAGATGCTGTGCATTAGACCAGCTCCTCAAAGTTTGAGAGCATTTAATATTATATATCGCTGCCATTTGGGCTAAATTGTTTTTTTAATGTACACAATATTACAAATTTAATTTGAGCTGTTTGAATCAGTCTGTAAAAAAGATTTGATTATACCTGAGTGTTCTGGCCCCAGCTTTTCTGTATCTCAGTAATCTTGGCGGTAATTGGCTGATTAGGCGTCTCACACTCCATCTTTGCCTCAGTTTCCATGGTAATGGTACAGGAGCTATTATAGATGAGAACTTCATCTCTTTCCACTTTAGGGCTGAAACGAGAGGGGAGGTTAAATGGGGTGTCATCAATCTTAATGAAATGCAATTATTTTTACTCTTATTAATCATTGCAAGCCATTAGCTTGTGGCAACCACAGGCCACCATTTGTCAAATTTTGCAAATTTCTGTAATTTTGTTTCCATTCTTTTATTGTTTATTTGTTTTCCCTTTATCTGCACACCCTGCAATGAAAATGCACATGGTAAATATCTTTCACTGAGGCCTTTCTCTTTTCCAGCTCTATCAGGAACATTAGCAAAAGCTTCTCCAAACCCAACCAAAGAAGCAATGCACAGACAATACTTCCAGTTCCAAAAATGGGAGCAAATGTTAGGAAAAAAATTTTTTTTTCTTTTCCCCTTCCCTCTTCCTGTTCTTACATTCAGTGATGGGGGAGTGAATTGCCTGAATCCCCCCAGGGCAGATGGAGAAATTGGAAAACCCACACAACTGGCTAACTGGTCCCTAATTCCAACTGTGAAAAAATGAGCTCATTTAGGCTTTCAATTCCCTCTCCCCAGCTGATGGCAATGAGGCTCTGTTGCTAGCAGTGGAACATTAACTTAGTAAATTAATTAAACTTACTTAACCGCCCAGACTAAGGAGATTCGATATATGTGCCAGTTACACTACCAGCCACTTGCTTTAAAAGTCCTCTTGCTTTAAGGAGAGAAACCAGACTGGATTTAAAATGAAAAACTGCAGTGTAGCATTACAGAAAGTCTACAAATATGTGGTCCAGAGGAGAGGAGAGCATGGAGTTTGCAGGGCATGGCCCCGAACAGGTGTGATATTTACTCAAGAATAATCCTGGCTTTAGGCATTGTTGCACCCAGCTCCAAGATTATTAGTTATAATAATGCACGATGTTTTACACTTTGTAACAGTTTCATACGTACGATCTCATTTCAGCCGGTAAATTAGGTAGAGGCATAAAAAATGTAACTCAAAGAGAGTGGTGATTTGCATAAAGTCAAACACAAAAATAAGGCAACTCCGAGATGAGAATCCAAGGGGTCCCGTCTCCTAGAGCAATACTCCCAAGTTTTGAGATGCTGATGGGACATCACCACGAAGTTGGCATATCCCACGGGAAGACCAAGACTGGTGATGAAAAGGGCAAAGGATCACTGCTTGAGAAACTATAACTCATGTCCAACTAGAACATCTTTTTTCAAATCAATGTCGAAATGGTTTCTCCCACACTTTGCTAGAAATAATGAGCAGGATAACTATCACATCTACGTCATCTCCTCGTCTTCATGCTAAAACATTCCCAGCTCCGTATCCACCCAGGACATGACTTCCATACTCACTGTCTTCTACACCTACTGTAGATTGGCAATATGTTAATATTGTGCAGCCCAGTTTGGCTGACCATTGAGGTTGTGGTCTCCCTTTATCGAAGCCCTCCCCACCATGGCACCTAATACTGTGTTCATCTTGTATCCCCTAAGCTTAAATTAAGATGGTGGTGAACTCAAAGTCTCAGAGCCACAATTACCTGAGGATTTCACCATGCTGCCTGTGTTCAGCCGATTTTCTGAGAAGCATTATAATGCAAAAGTGAGGCTTGAAAGCCAGCCAGCTAGATTTGAATCCCCGAGCAGATATTTACCATCCATCTGACATTGTTGAAGACATGACTCTCTAAGCTTTTTTTTCCACGTTTATAAAATGAAGTTACTAATCATAAAGACTCTTTTAAAGAGGTGTTTGGGGGATGGAGCAAAATGAAGCCTACAAAAGGACCTGCCCAGAATTTGGTGCAAGGAAGTGTCCGATAAAGTCAGTTCTTGTTATAGTTTTAGGTGGTAGTGACATAGGTGGTATTATTGTTGAAATGTCAATGTGGGAATTTACATTCATTGTTGTTACGGGTCGTCTCACTGATGTGGACCCATTGCTCAAATACATTTTGAATCTGAGCCTGTAATGTAGCTACACATCCATTTAGCTGAGCCATCATCCAGGGGTAGACAAAGCCACAGGATAAACACAGCATTTGCTCCTAGAGTGTCACTTGCATGCAAAGATTCAGAAAAGCAAAGCAAAGTAATTTAACTTTCAAATTAAAATGTAATATTTAGATACCTATGGAAATATGATGAAGTAGAATGCAAAATTCACATGGACTTTTCAAATAAAACACCTGACTTCAAAGCAACTTGATTCTGTGGCAGGGTACCTTGGGCTTTGCAGCTAGAACCTTTCTTTTGCTACTGGGGGGCGGGGGGTAGGAGGGTTGCTAGAATAGTTTAGGAAGCTCTCCATCACCATTGCCATCATAAATCTCTTATAAAGCCATCAGAAAGGAAATGAAGTTGGTTTTCCACACCATCTCGTTCCTTGTGAATCGGTTCCCAGATTGCTACTCCCATTTCTGAAGGCTCACAAGCCATCTGATTAATAATTCATTCTGGAATAATGTAAACTTAGTTGTCTACCTTTCCAGAATTCCCTTTTTTTGCTTCTTAGGCAAGGGAAAGAATATTTGCCTGTCACCTCTCTGTTCTGTGCTCCCCTCTCATGTTCATTTCCAACTGTGGATCTTCACTCATATGAGCAGGTTTTTTATACTCACTATATGATGATCTGGGATACTGACTTGAACTCAAGGGAAGGAGTGACCTTTACAACCTTTCTTGATCATGGGCTTCCACCTCCTAACCAGACTTCTTCTGCCCCTTCTAGGTTCTTCGTCAGCAAAGGTTAGAGTAAAATGAGGTAAGTCACCCTGCCCTCTTTTCATCTGCCTGTAGCAATGCCCACCAGCTCACAGTGGATTGTTCCATTTTGCTAGTGACTCCAGAAACACAATATATATCACCTGCCATTGGAAGGTCACTCCAGCTGACCAAGTCCTAAACAAATTAAACAAAGCCTGTTTCTTCAGCAAGTGCTCTAACAGCTGGTCCCCCAGTAGAAGACCCTGCTGATATCTGTCGATGCTGTAACAAGGGTCGCTGTGGCTTTCCAGGCCGTTCCCGGAGGAGACAGTCTGTTCCCCGCAGTCATAGGCACACGACAGAAGAAGCAGATGTCACAGTGGGGCCACTGATCTTCCCAGGAAAGACTAGTGACCATGGTACAGAAGGTCCTTCCCACCTCTGTGATGTCAGGCGTAGGCCTGGGCACCACGGCATCCCTGACTCTGCCTTGCATTGTCCTGTGTTTCCAGGCTGCTTCCCACCCTGTGTGCCCTGCTTCCCGATACAAGAAGAAAGTGAAAACAAATCATGTTGTTTTTGCTCTGAAAGAGTTAAAACCCTTTTCTGCTGGCTTAGGCTTTTTCACAACCTTTAGCTCATATTTCTTTTCTTTTTTGGCCCTGATTATATGACTAGAAATTTTTTTCATTAAAAAGCCATCATCAAGATGAGCAGAGACACCAGGATGTCAAAAATGGACTAACATTTGCAAAATTTCAAAGTTTCTTAATATTACTATGTCATGTTTTCTTCCACAACCATCCTACAAATTAAGGAGCACAGTTGGCCAGTTTTAACTATAGACATATGTGTACACAGAGAAATACATAGATACAGATGATATGGATGTGCATGCACACACGCATGCACACAAATATTTATTTTGAGGGAATGTGGTAAGAATATTTGGCCCAAATGGTGGGAGAGAGAGTTCTAGAACCTAAGTTTCCTGAGTCCCAATCTATTGCTCTTTCAGTCGGTCCAACCAGATCCAAAAGTAAGCAGATATTCTCCTTGGATGCACTCTCTATGGTAGGCAGTAAAAACCATGCCATCATTCTGTCTCCCTCACTTAGCCTGAAATTGCTTCCCATGTCTCAAATCTCCTGGACCCGCACAGCCCAGCCAAGGCTGTTACTGATGCCAACAATACAGCATCATGCTGAGTACACTGTGAGTCAGAAGCCTTGGGTTCCAGTCCTGATACTGCCGGGGCTTGACTGTGACTTTAAAAAGATACTTAGTCTGTTCTTAGAATAGAATCCAAACTCCTTACTATGGCCTTTGAGGCCTTAATACATCCCCGAGCTCTTCTCGAGCCACTTTTCCTCCTTCTAACCCTACTCCTGCCCTTCTGACCTCTGACAGTTCATGAAACTTGATGGGTCCTTTGCACTTGCTGCCCCCACTGCCTGACTCTCCATAATGACACTTGTCCTTAGCTCAGCTTAAAAGGCACTTCTTCAGAGAAACCTCCTCTGAGCTGATCCAGTGATCCCACACCTGGGCATATATCTAGAGAAAACTATAATTCAAAAAGATACATGCACTCCAGGAGAGGGGTGGGGGTGGGGGTGGGTTGAATTGGTAGATTGGGATTGACATATATACACTAATATGTATAAAATGGATAACTAATAAGAACCTGCTGTATAAAAAAATAAATAAAATAAAATTCAAAAAAAATGTAAAAAAATATAAAAATAAATAAATGAGTATCTTTCCCTTGGGGGAAAAAAAAAAAGATACATGCACTCCAATGTTCACTGCAGCACTATTTACAATAGCCAAGATATGGAAGTAACCTAAATGTCCATTGACAGATGAATGGATAAAGAAGATGTGAGATATATACACATACATACACACACACACACACACACACACACACACACACACACACACACACACAATGGAATATTACTCAGCCATAAAAAAGAATGAAATAATGCCATTTGTAGCAACATAGATGGACCTAGAGATTATCATACTAAGTGAAGTAAGCCCGACAGAGAAAGACAAATATCATTTGATATCACTACCTACTATGTAGCACAGGGAACTATATTCAGTGTCTTGTAATAATCTAAAAGGGAAAAGAATCTGAAAAAGAACATATATATATATATATATATATATATATATATATAAATAATATATTTGTATAACTGAATCACTTTGCTGTACACCTGAAACTAATACAACATTGTAAATCAACTATACTGCAATTTAAAAAATAATAACAAAAAATGAAATAAAAAAATTTTTAAAAGCAGCCTCCATTGTTTTTTATCACTTTATAGCCCTTATCAGAACATGTGATCATCTTGTTTATTGTCTGGCCTCCTCCACTACTCTTAAGGACAGGGACTTTGCATCTCATTCACCATTGAGTCACCAGATCCTGGCACAGTACCTGGAACATAATAAACACTTGGTAACTACTGGATGGATGGATGGACAAACTGGGCATATATTTGCCACAGATACAAATGTCTGTCTTTGCCAAATGACATCAAATACATAGTGGTAGTGGCTGGCAGGGGGTTAAACCATTTAATGGAAATGGGTTCTTTGCAAAGACCCTGGAAAGTAGTTCTCTGCGTTCACAAGCACAATCTTAAGAGGAACCAAGGTAAGCTATTTAGCACATGATATTCCTAGCACCCCATGTAAAATTTATATTGTGTTTTCTGGTTATTAAATTAGTACATGTTCACTGAAAAAATTACATAAAAACACAATGAAGAAAACAAATATGATCAGTCCTCCAGCCCCCTAGGGATAGGCACTATCAGCATTTTAGAATACATCCTTCCGGTCTTTTTCCCAATCACCTGTTGTGTGACACATGTACATGTACTATAAACACCATCAGGACTTCATTGAGGCACTATTTTGTGACCTGTACTCCTCAGTATAGGAGTACAATATACTCCTCAGTATATTGTAAGCATTTCCTTCTTTGGTTAAATGTTCTACACCATGGTTTTTCAAGGTTCTTAGTATATTATCACTTGGATTCATTCTTTATTACTAAACGCTTACTTCATTTCAACTGTTTTTGTTATATACCTAAAGCATTGAAGACTATAGTTCTTCATAAATGTTACATATTTCTAACTGCTTTCTTAAAATCCTGGAAGTAAAATCGCTGGATCAAAGTATGAAGAATTAATAAATGAAAAAGAAATGAAGAAAACAATTGCAAAGATCAATAAAACTAAAAGCTGGTTCTTTGAGAAGATAAACGAAATTGATAAACCATTAGCCAGACTCATCAAGAAAAAAAAGAAGACTCAAATCAATAGAATTAGAAATGAAAATGGAGAAGTAACAACTAACACTGCAGAAATACAAAGGATCATGAGAGATTACTACAAGCAACTCTATGCCAATAAAATGGACAACCTGGAAGAAATGGACAAATTCTTAGAAAGGCACAACCTTCAGAGACTAAACCAGGAAGAAATAGAAAATATAAGCAGACCAATCACAAGCACTGAAATTGAAACTGTGATTAAAAATCTTCCAACAAACAAAAGCCCAGGACCACATGGCTTCACAGGTGAATTCTATCAAACATTTAGAGAAGAGCTAAAACCCATGCTTCTCAAAATCTTCCAAATATAGCAGAGGGAGGAACACTCCCAAACTCATTCTACAAGGCCACCATCACCCTGATACCAAAACCAGACAAAGATGTCACAAAGAAAGAAAACTACAGTCCAGTATCACTGATGAACATAGATGCAAAAATCCTCAACAAAATACTAGCAAACAGAATCCAACAGCACATTAAAAGGATCATACACCATGATCAAGTAGGGTTTATCCCAGGGATGCAAGGATTCTTCAATATACGCAAATCAATCAATGTGATAAACCATGTTAACAAATTGAAGGAGAAAAACTATGTAACCATCTCAATAGATGCAGAAAAACTTTCGACAAAATTCAACACCCATTTATGATAAAAACCCTCTAGAAAGTAGGCATAGAGGGAACTTACCTCAACATAATAAAGACCATATATGCCAAACACACAGCCAACATCAATCTCAATGGTGAAAAACTGAAACCATTTCTACTAAGATCAGGAACAAGACAAGGTTGTCCACTCTCACCACTATTATTCAACATAGTTTTGCAAGTTTTAGCCACAGCAATCAGAGACGAAAAAGAAACAGAGGGAATCCAAATCAGAAAAGAAGAAATAAAACTGTCACTGTTTGCAGATGACATGATACTATACGTAGAGAACCCTAAAGATGCTACCAGAAAACTACTAGAGCTAATCAATGAATTTGGTAAAGTAGCAGAACACAAAATTAATGCACAAAAATCTCTTGCATTCCTATATACTTATGATGAAAAATCTGAAAGAGAAATTAAGGAAACACTCCCATTTACCACTGCAACAAAAAGAATAAAATACCTAGGAATAAACCTACTTAAGGAGACAAAAGACCTGTATGCAGAAAACTATAAGACACTGATGAAAGAAATTAAAGATGATAAAACAGATGGAGAGATATACCATGTTCTTGGATTGGAAGAATCAACATTGTGAAAATGACAATACTTTGCAAAGCAATCTAGAGATTCAATGTAATCCCTATCAAACTACCAATGGCATTTTTCACAGAACTAGAACAAAAACTTTCACAATTTGTATGGAATAGCCAAAGCAATCATGAGAAAGAAAAACAGAGCTGGAGGAATCAGGCTCCCTGACTTCAGACCATACTACAAAGCTACAGTAATCAAGACAGTAAGGTACTGGCACAAAAACAGAAATATAGATCAATGGAACAGGATAGAAAGCCCAGAGATAAACCCATGCACCTATGGTCATCTTACCTTTGATAAAGGGGGAAAGAATATAAAACACAGAAAAGACAGCCCCTTCAGTAAGTGGCGCTGGGAAAACTGGACAGCTACATGTAAAAGAATGAAATTAGAACACTCCCTAACACCCTACACTAAAATAAACTCAAAATGGATTAAAGACCTAAATGTAAGGCCAGACACTATCAAACTCTTAGAGGAAAACATAGGCAGAAAACTCTATGACATAAATCACAGCAAGATCCTTTTCAACCCACCTCCTAGAGAAATGGAAATAAAAACAAAAATAAACAAATAGGACCTAATGAAACTTAAAAGCTTTTGCACAGCAAAGAAAACCACAAACAAGACAAAAAGACAACCCTCAGAATGGGAGAAAATATTCGCAAATGAAGCAACTGACAAAGGATTAATCTCCAAAATTTACAAGCAGCTCATGCAGCTCAATATCAAAAAAACACACAACCCAATCCAAAAATGGGCAGAAGACCTAAACAGACATTTCTCCAAAGAAGATAAACAGATTGCCAACGAACACATGAAAGGATGTTCAACATCACTAACATTAGAGAAATGCAAATCAAAACTACAATGAGATATCATCTCACACCAGTCAGAATGGCCATCATCAAAAAATCCCCAAACAAGAAATGCTGGAGAGGGTGTGGAGAAAAGAATCCTCTTGCACTGTCGGTGGGAATGTAAATTGATACAGCCACTATGGAGAACAGTATGGAGGATCCTTAAAAAACTAAAAATAGAACTACCAAATGACCCAGCAATCCCATTACTGGGCACACATCCTGAGAAAACCATAATTCAAAAAGAGTCATGTACCACAATGTTCACTGCAGCACTATTTACAATTGCTAGGACATGGAAGCAACCTAAGTGTCCACTGACAGATGAATGGATAAAGAAAATGTGGCACATATATAAACTGGAATATTACTCAGCCATAAAAAGAAACAAAATTGAGTTATTTGTAGTGAGGTGGATGGACCTAGAGTCTGTCATACAGAGCAAACTAAGTCAGAAAGAGAAACCAAATACCATATGCTTACACATATATATGGAATCTAAAAAAAAAAAAAAAAGATTCTGAAGAACCTAGTGGCAGGACAGGAATAAAGACGCAGATGTGGAGAACGGACTTGAGGACACAGGGAGGGGGAAGGGTAAGCTGGCACAAAGTGAGAGAGTGGCATGGACATATATACACTACCAAATGTAAAACAGATAGCTAGTGGGAAGCAGCCGCATAGCACAGGGAGATCAGCTCGGTGCTTTGTGACCACCTAGAGGGGTGGGATAGGGAGGGTGGGAGGAGATGCAAGAGGGAGGAGATATGGGGATATATGTATATGTATAGCTGATTCACTTTGTTATAAAGCAGAAACTAACACACCATTGTAAAGCAATTATGCTCCAATAAAGATGTTAAAAAGTAAAACACAGGCTGTCTTAGGACATCAGAAATTTTGACTGCCATGGAAAGGGCTGGTTCTCACTTTTCCTCTGGGTAGTTGGTTTTGTTTAGTTTTATTTTTTAATGGGGAAAGAGGCCTTCATTAAATACAAGGATGTAACCACTCTATCTAGATAAGAAATAAAGAAGGACACAGGGCCACATTCAGCACTGAAATATCACACTTCACAGTAAGGAAGCTGCTTGCAGAAATGAAGGTCATCTAGAGCAACCGACAGGGCCACACTTTTTTTTAAATGTGTTTAGAAAAGGGGATTTTTACCTGGAAAGTTGTGGTATTTATTTGTTTGCTTTTTAAGTTCAAAAACTTATAAGCCTATGGCTTTTAAATCCTAGATCTACAGTCCTTCGGCCCATGCATGCCCCTTTCTTCTGAATAAACATTGCACAATCTGCTGGATTTCTCTATGACTTTTTCTCATACTTGTGAATCTGTTTGGAAAGAAAAGAAAAAGGAAACGGGAAAAGAGCCTTCTGTTTTTCATAATGTCTAATCTTTTTCCCCCATTGGCATTCACCAGATGTTGCTCTGGATTGGAAGATAAATATTAAAATCTAAGCAAGAACAAAGCAGGCTGTTTACTGGGCAGATTTTTCAGATGTTCTCTTGAACACTTGAAAAGACAGGAGACTCTTTGATATGCAGGCTGGCTGGAATCCACAATGGAACAGTCTCTCCAACAAGAGGGTTGGCCCTAGGGCTGTGTCCACGCAGCCTGCAGTTCCTGAGAATTCCATTAATCCACTGGCTGTGCATTAGTGGGGAAGGTCAGGGAGGGAGAGGACTGGGTTACCTGATGAAGAGGCCTGAGAAAGATGGAAAGACGGACTCTGTCCAACGATCTTGTGCACAGATGCATCGGGAACTCTCTTCACAGGTGTAGAAATAAGGCCATGACTCGGGCAGGCTCTCTGTCCCCACAGCGACAGTCAAATCACACTGCACGTAGCTGCAGCCAGAGGTCTCACAGTTCTCCTCCTCAGGTCTCAGGCCACACAGGAAAGCCAAGGACACTGCATGAAACGGTCAACGTTGGGTTAGGTAATAACCACAGAAAGAACTAAAGGCCTTACTTTGTTACATCAACCAAGCCCATGTGTTTTTCCTTGACCAATAGGAAAATAAACTTATTCATTTACTCTTCTTAAAAGTGTACTATGTGTACATAATTCATACAGAGGATACAAATCATGTTTTTGTAAAATATGAATCACCTAGTCAGAAAACTCATGTGAATGTACCATAAATTCAGCCAACATAAGCCAATACCGTCAAGATGCTCTCCAGTCTATGTGCTCCTGGCCAAGTCTACCCACTTCCTCCTCATTCTCAGAAACAACACTTGCATTTTTTAAATAGCTTTCTCACATGGGTTTGTATCCTAAACAGGAGATTGTTGAATTTTACTTCTTTTTGAACTTTAGAAAATAGACGACATGGCATAATATCCTTAGACCTGCTTTCTTCACTCGATATTATGTTTCCAAGATTTAGCCCTATTATTGCATGTAACTGTTGTTCAAACATTTTCACTGCTGTTCAACACTGCATTCTGTGAAAGTACTACAATATATTTACCTATTCTGTCACCAATAGACTTTTGGGTAATTCCCAGGTTTTGCTACTACAAACATGTATGGAATTTTCTCTAGGGTATATATACCTCTAAGAAAATTGTCTACTCATAGGGTAGGTGCAAGTTCAACCTTACAAGACAGTGCCATGTTGTTTCCAAAGTGGTTGTGTCATTTCACGTTCCTACCACCTATATTTATGACTTCCCGGTAACCCACATAATTGTCAGCACTTGGGATTATCAGACTCTTAATTTTGGCCAGTCCAGTGAGTATACAACAGCATCTCATTGTGGCCTTATTTTGAATTTTCATCATTACTTTTTAGGCTGAGCAAGTTTTTATATGTTTAGTAGTAACGTCTTTTCCCTTCTATGAAATTCCCATTTCTGTCATTTGCCTTTTATTCTAGTGGAATGCTTGTCTTTTCCTTATTGATTTGTGAGTTTTATATTCTGGGTACTAATCCTACGAGGTTATATGCTTACTAATACCTTCTCCAGATTTGTGGCTAGACTTTTCATTCTCTTTATGGGATCTCTTGATTAACAGAAGTTCTTGATTCTCATAGAGTTATGACTATTAACATTTCATAAAGAAGAATAGCAATGATTTGAAGCCCTCTGACCCTGAGCCCATTTCTTTCCAGGTCATGAGAAACAATGTAAAAAGCATCACCAAGCCAGACTGGCAATAACCTTTAACAGGAGGATGAACAAATCTCTACATGAGATGGTTTGGGAGCATCTCTGCCTGAAAACCTTAATAAAATAGAAAAGAAAAATTTCCTCTAGCCTTCTACCTCTGCAGCTAGCTTGTTCATGCAGGTACGTAACACATGTTATCAAGGGCTATGAGCTTGAAGCTAAGAGGCCTGCCTACATCACAGGGCTGCATGCAGCAAGGGATAAGACAAGTACATGAGAGGGTTTGCCGTTATTCAATCACACACAAATAGTATTATTATTGCTGGTATATTCCAAAGCACCTAACACATAGTAGGTTCTGTGACTGTGTTCCCAAAGAATTACAGCAATTAAAATGTCTGGAAAGTAAGAGTCTTGTATGGATAGAGGAAACATGAGAACTTTCCAGTTAGTAATGAAGAAAGAAAATTCTTCTTTTGTTAGAAGTACAATTTGGGGGAAAAGTAAAGATGATGACCCCAAAAGCAGCAACAGGACATTTTTTTTTTAACAGGACATTTTTAGAGCTCTACATTTCTTAACTTTTATTGAAGTATAGTTGATTTACAATATTATGTTAGTTTCAGGTGTACAGCATAGTGACTGCATATTTTTACAGATTATACTCAAGGAGCTCAGAAGAGAAATACTAAAATGTTTACTTGCTGTGAAGTTTCTGATACAGTAGGTCCCAAGGATTCGCACTGTTAACAAAATCCCAGGTGCTGCTACTGTTGCTGCTCCGGTAATAATATTTTTTCAGTAATTCTCAATAATAATATCATTGAGAAGCACTGTGTTAGAAGGACTGAAATTATTCAGCTTTCCCAAGGGCTGCCAGCTGATTAAGGTTGAAAAAAGTAGAGTGGGGAGCATTAGTAGGTAAAAGGATAGATTTCCCTGAGAAAGACAACTGTGAAACACTTGTATGGGTCGCTGCTGTGAAAGTGCCCGCTAAAAAGTCTTTTAAAATATAAGAGATTCTTAACTAAATTGGTTCTGTGCAATCCTATCTGAAAGTAGGGGAATTATTTAGTAGTTTTTAATAATTTATGAGACACACTCCTTTGACAATTCGATGTACACTGTAGACCTACTTCCTACAAAAAAAAATACACAATCATATTCTCAAAATGTCTTATCCAATTTCAGGGATACACAGAATCCCCAACTCCCATCCTGGATCTTAAGTAAGAAACCAGTAGAGTGACAAAGGATTAATCACCAAAATACACAAGCATCTCATGCAGCTCAATATCAAAAAAAACAAACAACCCAATCCAAAAATGGGCAGAAGACCTAAACAGACATTTCTCCAAAGAAGATATACAGACTGCCAACAAACACATGAAAGAATGCTCAACATCACTAATCATTAGAGAAATGCAAATCAAAACTACAAATGAGGTATCACCTCACACCAGTCAGAATGGTCATCATCAAAAAATCTAGAAACAATAAATGCTGGAGAGGATGTGGAGAAAAGGGAACGCTCTTGCACTGCTGGTGGGAATGTAAATTGATACATCCACTATGGAGAACAGCATGGAGGTTCCTTAAAAAACTACAAATAGAACTACCATATGACCCAGCAATCCCACTACTGGACATATACCCTGAAAAAACCATAATTCAAAAAGAGTCATGTACCACAATGTTCATTGCAGCACTATTTACAATAGCTAGGACATGGAAGCAACCTAAATGCCCACTGATAGATGAATGGATAAAGAAGATGTGGCACATGTATACAATGGAATATTACTCAGCCATAAAAAGAAACAAAATTGAGTTATTTGTAGTGAGGTGGATGGATCTAGAGTCTGTCATACAGAGTGAAGTAAGTCAGAAAGAGAAAAACAAATACCGTATGCTAACACATATATATGGAATCTTAAAAAAAAAAAACGGTTCTGACAAACCTAGAGGCAGGACAGGAATAAAGACGCAGACATAGAGAATGGACTTGTGGACATGGGGAGGGGGAAGTATAAGCTGGGACAAAGTGAGAGAGTGACATGGACATATATACACTACCAAATGTAAAACAGATAGCTAGTGGGAAGCAGCCCCATAGCACAGGGAGATCAGCTCCGTGCTTTGTGACCACCTAGAGGGGTAGGATAGGGAGGGTGGGAGGGAGATGCAAGAGGGAGGGGATATGGGGTATGTGTATACATATGGCTGATTCACTTTGTTGTGCAGCAGAAGCTAACACAACGTTGTAAAGCAATTATACTCCAATAAAGATGTTAAAAAAAAAAGAAACCAGTGGAGTTGGATTCCACCAGTTCCTCTCCATCTTTACAGACACTACTTAAAAGTCTTTTAAAAGACTTTTTTTATTTTGAATTTTATTTCATTTATTTTTTTATACAGAAGGCTCTGATTAACTATTTTATACATATTAGTGTATTTATGTCAATCCCAATCTCCCAATTCTTTTTTAATGAAAGAGGAAAATAAATTATCCATTTCCCCAGAGTAAATGAGCGGCCCTTGTACAATCAATGAGTGTTTGCTGACACCTAGTGACAATGGTAAAAGTTACAGCGCCTCACTCATGTTTTCCTCTTCTAAAAATCAAGGAATTTTGAGAATTCTTTTTCTAAATTTAATCAAATCTTTTAAAATATAATAATTTATTTTATTCCTCTCCTATGAGTTATAAAACTCCCAATAACACAATTTACCTGACCCTGAAACTTCACTGGTTTTTAGTTTGTACTTCTGGTTGAAACTAGATGTCTTGAAATAATAGCAAAGAGTTGATTAATTTAAATAGTGTATACGTGAAAGCCCCCCGCCCCTCCAAAAAAACTGTAGCAGTATTTGTTAAATATTAGGACCTAGAAATGGGGAGTCGGTTTTACGTTTCCACCATTTCCCAACTCCCGTATTTATTCTTTCATCGAACATTAATTTTGCACGTCCCCTAAGCCAGGACAGTTCTAGGCACAGGAGTTAGAACAGAGGAAGAAACAGACATATTAACTTCAACTTTCTACCATATCCTAAATTTCCTATTGTGGAATCTTAAGTAGAACAGATCTCTCATCTGTGATGTTCTGCTCATATACATGAGGTCATAGGACACTCGATTTCCACTATCGTAAGCAAGGATTCTTTCTCCTCTTCCCTCCTTTCCTCCTCCTCTCCTTCCTCCCAATCCCCACGGCCACCACCACCACTCCTCCTTCTGGTCTAAGACCATCCAATGTAACTGCCATCACAACAGTATTAGCCATCATGGAATTTTTGTCCAAGCTCAGAAGTGATGCTTTTATCACTGTAAATCTTTCACCAACATTCAAGTTGCAGACACAGAAATTAGGAATATAACTTAAAGCATTTTACAGAAAACATGAGTACAAATTATTTTTAAGTGCACAGGTATAAGATCTATGATTATGCAAACCAAATAACCACCTGGCTTAGCTGACCCTGTAGTGATAATAGTAATTTCATCCCTGAGACTTTTTTTTCTGAAGCTCAGTAGGTTATAAGCATGTGTTGTGAGCCCCATCATAGAAATATCAAAGCTTTGCACATTCCATTCTAAACCCTCCACCCCACAAAGACATGGCTTCCCGTGCCACAATTTATGTGATGGCTACAAAGCTTACAACAGTGAGAGATCGTGGTGTTTTACTGAGTAAGGGCTCAGGTAATTATCTGGACTTTACAGAATAGAAGGATAATGTTAATGTTGGCCTTTTTTTCCTATAATAAGATTCAAGACCTGAGCACACTAATATGCAAGAGCTCTCCAGCAGAATGATCTAATCCCTTCACTAGGACCTCCAGAAAGCAGACATTTTCAGCAGCCCCACCTCAGAACAAGACAAAATTGTTTTCTCCACGATGCCTAGGCTGTCACTGAAACTAGTATTCACCACTCAGAACTACTTTCTCCATCTTCATATGACTGCCGTCAAGAACACAGACCTACTAGAGAATGGACTTGAGGATATGGGGAGGGGGAAGGGTAAGCTGTGACAAAGTGAGAGAGTGGCATGGTCATATATACACTACCAAACGTAAGGTAGATAGCTAGTGGGAAGCACCCGCATAGCACAGGGAGATCAGCTCGGTGCTCTGTGACCACCTAGGGGGTGGGATAGGGAGGGTGGGAGGGAGGGAGACGCAAGAGGGAAGAGATATGGGAACATATGTTTATGTATAACTGATTCACTTTGTATAACTGATTCACTAACACACCACTGTAAAGCCATTATACTCCAATAAAGATGTTTAAAAAAAAAGAACATAGGTGATAAATGTTTTGTTGTCATTAACATGACAAAAGCTGTTATGACTCATCTTAACAGGTGGTCCCCAATTCTAACTACCATTTTAGATGGGGATCAGTGTATTTTTCCCCCCCAGGAACACATAGAAAAATTTAAAGTCAATACAGCATTAATTATCAAAAAAATGGAGTTAACCAAAGTATGTCATTTCCATATACACTCTTTAAAAAACGAATATGGCATTTTTCCTGACCATCCAGGGGCAGAACCAGGCAGCTGAAGGCAGACACTGTCGCGTTAGCCAAGACTTGGCAGGGAGCACCACACACGGCAGCTGAGATGTTCTCAGGAGAAAATCCTGCTCCAAACACATGCACGAGCCTTCCACCCAGGCAGCCTTTAAAGACAAAATGATGAGTTCACCATCATAGAGGCAAATCTTTCTTTACTCAGAATTCAAACCCATGCTTTCCTGCTCCCCTTCATTCTTTCTATGCCCTCCTGAGTCCACACACTGGCCTTAGATTCCCTGTTTTCTCAGTTTCTTCTCACTAAGCTCTGGCCTCCAAAGCCTGGAGCCCTTATTCTGTCAAACCCCAATAATTCAACAACCTATAAAACGTGTAAAAATTCCTATGTAGAAAAATAATGCTTATTTATCGTTCTTAAACTTTTTATACAGAAGAGTATAAAGTGAAAGAAAAACTTCCCCTAACTACTTATCTCACTCCCCAGAAGTAGCCATGTATAGAATTTCTTGTGAATTCTTCTTGAATTTTCTAAGCATATAGGTTTTTTTATACAAAGGGGTCATTCTATACATAATATTCTACAACTTTTTTTAAAAATTAGAAGTGTAGCATAAACATTTTTCCAAGTCTATATATACAGATCTAGCTCATCATTTTTATTTATTTTTTTTGCAGTATGCGGGCCTCTTACTGTTGTGGCCTCTCCCACTGTGGAGCACAGGCTCCGGACGCACAGGCTCAGCGGCCATGGCTCACGGGCCCAGCCGCTCCACGGCATGTGGGATCTTCCCGGACCGGGGCACAAACCCGTGTCCCCTGCATCGACAGGCGGACTCTCAACCACTGTGCCACCAGGGAAGCCCCCTAGCTCAGCATTTTAATAGCCACTTAGAATTCCATCATATGATTATTCCATAATTTATTGAGCAATCTTCCTATTGATTGATAGTTCCATAATTTCTCCTCTTTTTCTGCAATTAAGGATGGTGCAATGAACTATATATACTTATATGAGTAAAACTGGTGCAACTTCTTAGAAGTGGAATTGCTAGGTCAAAGGAAAAGTAAATTTTTAATTTTGACGAATACTGCCAAATTTCTCTCCAAAATAATGTTGCCCCAGTTTATACTCCTACCTGCTGTGTAAGAAGAGTACCTGTTTGATGGGTAAAATCATGTCAGTTCTTAACAGACAACATGTTTTGCTTCAGTCTGAAAATCAATAAAGGAAAATGTCAGCTGACATCTGAAAATGTCAGATGTGCAGAGACCTCTAGTCTACATTGAGATAGAGGTCTAGTTTCTCCTGCCTTCAATGTCAAATCTAGGTGGTATTTACACAGCTACCTGACAAACTTTTTGCTTGGGTGCATTCTTACCCTTCCTCTCTCACCATAAAAGTCATGGATTCCTAGAGAGTTGAAAGGGGAACAAGGGAGCATCCAGCCCCAAACCCTTTATCAAATAAGAAATCTGAGGCTTAAAAAAGTTACCCAGCTAAGATAGTGACAGACTCAGGACCAAACCCCAATCCCCGTAGCATCCCGCCCAGCTGAGGCCAGACATATTTGTTCCAAGAAATGGCTTGGTTCGTACTTCATCAGTCTAGGATCCTGCTCCCATAATTACTTCTAACCTTTCTGTATCACAATCATATTTGAGCTATCTCAAGTGTAGTAAGACATTAAGGGGACAGAAACCCAAACCATCACTGGAAGAAAAGGCAAGGCAAATATCAATACATCTAAAAGAAGAAAAAGTTCAACCAATGAAATCATACTGTGCAATTGGCTTATTATTGGTGGAGTATGAATTCATCTGTGAAATAGTACAAAATGATAAAAATTAATCATATTTAATAAGTTTAAAACAATTCAAATTGGCAGATAGGTTTAAAAATAAATGAAGGCATTTATGTTCTACTTAAATGATCAAATTATGAGCTCTTACAAATGGTATTACTTAAAGCACAAATTAAAGCGGGTTAATGTATCAAATTAAAATACAATCAAACACTTAGAGAATATGCACAATCTCCTCGATAAAAAACAAAGCCTCATAAATGGAGCATGACAAAGTTTTAGGAGGAAGCTGGGGCTGTAAGAGGAAAACCAGCTTCTCTCTCCTTCTGTCATTCAGACTGACGTTGATTTCCTACCTCACAGAGTAGGGACAGGAGCTACTGATCCACTTATATAAAGAAAGCTCTTCTGCCTCATCTGCCTGACTTACCGAAGTTCTCGGTCACTGCTGTAACGGTCACTCTGGATGTGAACACCAGGATAGATGAGGCCCACCCTCTCAGGTGGTCATAACCTCTGACTTGGTACTCCCCGACAGGAAGGGATGGGACCACACACTGGAGAAGGGTACGGTTGCCAGAGACACCCACACAGGGGAATATCCCAATAAAAATGTCAACGTTCGCAGCTCCTGAGATCCCGGCCACTGAAAACGTTAAGACGTCATCAGTCTGAGAAACTGAGAGCAATTCGGGGGTGAAGGCGTCGCTGTAACCAATGACGCCCACCTGGTAAGAAAGTCCATCTACCTCTATGACCAGGGCAACGGAGCCATTCCCTGCAGGAACAGCGCACTGGATGAGCTCAGAGCTGAGGTTCACAGTCAGGCAGGCCTGCTGGCCAATGTAGACTAAAGTGGAGTTCCGTCCCCTCAGGGCTGTACCCTCCAAGGTCAAGAGGCTTCCACCATGGAGGCTGAAATTCTTGGGGAAATAATGAAACACTTGAGGCAAAATGTGGAAGTGTCTGTGAACGTGACCAGAGCAAGCATACCCATATCTCGTATGAAGAACCGACAGGTAGTGGGGTCCTGGGGCCAAGCCACTGATACAGCACGCCACGTGGGTTGTATTAAAGGAAGTCACAGGGCAAGGAAGGCGACCATCCACAAACACCATTGGTTCATCAGCCGCGGTACCTAACCTCTGACCCCTCATCAGCACTGTGGTCAGAGACCCACTGATGGTTGTGGTCCAGGCGTCCACGACAGGAGTTGTCTCTTCACACAAGAAAAGAGTGCAATTCCCCTGACAGGCGCTGGGCAGCCCATTAACCAGGACAGTAACATTCAGGGTGAAGGAAGCACCAGGCAAGGGGTTACCCGCCGGGGTAATCCGACAGAGGACCGTCTGGTCCCCCAAACTCAAAATCACACAAGTGAAAGGACCTGAAATGTCAACCTGAACTGACCTCCTGCTGGAATTGAGAGCCAAGCCCCTCACCGTGAGTACTGTCCCTCCACAAGTGGACCCAAGTGTTGGGGAAATGGCTGTTATCTGAGGCAACACCACAAATTGCTGGGGCACCGCAGACATGTCAGCAAACCCCATCTGCCTCTGACGTACTTGGAGAGGATAGATGCCCGCCTCCAAACTGTGAAGAGGAAAAGCGCACCCAGACAGGCTTGTGTTGCTACTGGGAGACTGGGTCTCAACATCACAGCTCAAGTTCCCCAGAAGGACCTCTGAGTTGGAGAGATTCTGCCCTTCCACGTAGAGCCTCAGGCTGTGATTTGTGATTTCTCCTCGCGTGGCTGTGACCACCGGGGTTGCTGCCATTTCATATGTGAAGATGAAGCCCTTCCCCACCAGGCTTGGCAAAGGTTGGTAGGGGAAGGGCTGGCTGCCAGCCCAGACCTCCACAGGGGCTGGGGCACCAGGCGGCAGGGGGGCTGGCGGGGTCTCACACCAGACGTTCGTCTCCGTTGAGTTCACAATGTCACAGGACCGATTGCCCACAAGCACCCAAACCAAAGCTGGGTCCCTGCTGAACCCTCTTCCTGAGATGCTGAGGATGGTTCCACCTAAAGCACAAATATTGAGAATAAAACTGAAAAGCTGATATTTCAGAACTAGGAACTCACAGCCCCTATGTGAGCCCCAGCAGGACCAAGTAAAAGGTGGGGTAAGTGTTAGTGAAAGTATCTCACCTCACCCATCAATGTTGATGTGTGATCATTTTGGCAGGAGTCAGATGCGCTAAATTTCACATGATAGTAAAACAATATAAATTGTCCTATAAGAGGAATGTTTATACTATTTAAGACAAAATTTCCAAGTATGTTTATAGATCCTTAGAAACCTCCATCAACTTGGACACTAATGAAAAATCAAATTTCTTGAAGTGCTCTTGTCATCTGCTATATTACCTTAACATGTCAGTCTATATGATTCTACAAATTATTATGTAGAAAGAGGATATGTATATTTCATATACATATGTACACAACATATACATAATGAAAAATCAAATTCTTTAGTCTTCTTGTCATCTGTTGTATTACCTGCCCTAATATTCTGTATTATTCTCTATGTTATTATGTAGTATATATGTATATTGTTCTATATATATTAAACTTACTAATGAAAAATCTAATTTGTTGAAGTCTTCTACTTATCTTCTATATTATTCTATGTAATATTCCAGTATTCCATATATTATGTAGTCGTGTGTGTGTGTATATGACATATCAAGAAGAACTGAAACATTGAAGCATGCTTGTAATTGTGCTGCTGTATTCATAGACATCGTCTCACTTTCTAGTTGAGGCACAATCAAATCCCATCTTCAGGACAGGGATGGGGGCAACGTACCCCTTATCATTACCAAATCAGTGGTATAGCCAAGCAGCTTTAAAAAGGATTATACTATGTTCAAGAAGGAGAATGTACCTACTGTATAGCACAGGGAACTACTCAATACTCTGCAATGGCCTATATGGGAAAAGAATCTTAAAAAGAGTGGATATATGTATGTGTATAACTAATTCACTTTGATATACACCTGAAACTAACACAACATTGTAAATCAACTATACCCCAATCAAAAAAATTTTTTTAAAGGATAATGTGTTATTTCATCCACTATTACAATGATTATCACAGGCAAATACATAGCTTTCAGTTTTTTCTGAAAATGAGTAGTTTTCTAGATTTCTCTATTTGTCCTGTCCTGACATCTCCCACGTTGACATTTGTGTTTCTGACTCTGTCTCGTCCTTCATCTACATCCCTAGAGCAAGCGAAGACATCAAAGACTCATGCCTCTTGCCCTTGCACATGCAGTATAAAAACGGCTAACTCAGGAAGCTCTTCTCTCATTTACTACTGTTGTTTTTTTAATCAAAATATAGTTTATCTACAATATTGTGTTCATTTCTGATGTACAGCAAAGTGATTCGGTGATATGTACTCGAGATGCGCCACTTTTTAGATGTTTCAGCCTCCTTCTATTAGGAAAAAGGAAAACCAGGCACATCTCCTTTAAAGAATTAAAAATTCTTTAATTTCCTGAACTCACTGGGCTAAGGGATCCTGAGTTTTCACACCTTCCAAAGTACATCACTCAGTTCCCAGTGCAGGGGAAAGCACCTCTCCCTGCAGCCCCTTCTCTGGTCTCACCAGGAACAAACTCTGAATATCCAGGGAGTAGACTTGCTGAATAAATAATACCAGTCAGGTCAAAGCCACTCACCCAGAATGGACCCACAGCAAGGCTGGACGCTGAAGACTTCTGTGATGTACTCGATGTGAAGATCCACACTATAGAAAATGGGGAGATGGTCATGAAATAACTGAGAGTCAGAAAAAAAAGAGAAAAGAAGGCACGAGACAGCCGAGATGTATGTATTGGGGGGAGAAGAAGAAAGAAAGGGGGCTGCGATGGAGAGCACAGGTGAGGGGCACAGTCCACCAGAGAAGGAAGGAAACATGAAGAAGAGAAGCTAAGTGCGATATTTTCCTGCTCCAATATCAAGTGGGCACATCAGCCTCATAGAGTTTAGCTACTTTCTGGAATGAAGCAAGGGAACTTCTGCAGAAATACTGGGCAGGGGGACTTCAGGGTAAAGAGGACTGAGCACGGCTTGTGCAGTAATTGAAGCCATTTATTCAAAGCCCAAGACACTGTTATTATTAAAGGTCTTAGTGAAATCACAATCTCTTATTAAGCGCAGACTCTTCCTCCTCACATAGAGATGCCCATCCCATCTCACCCCAACCCAACTGAGAGACATGACATCTTAGTTCCAGAAAGTTCTCCTTTCCCCAACTAGTAAGCCAAAAACTAGTCTTGAGAGTGAACTGTCCTGTAGGGTCTCCAAGATTTGTTCAAATTTTAGGGTTCTCATATGTTTATCCCTTAACTTCAGAAGAAGAAGAAAAAATAAAGACCTAACTCAAAACTAGAATTCCTCAACTGAATCGCTAGACCATCAACAGACTTAAAATGAATGGCAAGGGTCCACCTCACCCTTGTGCATGAATGTGGGCCCCATTGATGGAGACTGAGATTCCGTGGAGCCCAGCAGGCAGCGGGGGCAGCACCACCTCCAGGCCCTGAGCTGCCTGCGCTCGGACCCGAGCTCTGGTGTCCCCAATGTGGACTTGGACATCCAAATCCGTATGGTTCATTGGCAGCACCATTCCAATGGAAAGGGTCTCACCTCCTGTGTTGAAAAGAATCCATTAGCCCCTGTGAAGTGGATTTGTGGTCTCAACCGTCTATTCAATTCTAAGATTAGCTTTTGAGATTAAACACGTGGTTAGCCCTGTGCATAATACTCTGATTAAGAGTTTTAATGCCGGGAATTCCCTGGCAGTCCAGTGGTTAGGACTTGGCGCTTTCACTGCTGGAACCAGGTTTGATCGTTGGTCAGGGAACTAAATAAGATCCTGCAAGCTGTGCAGCATGGCCAAAACAAATAAAATAAAAATAATTTGAAAAAGCTTTTAATGCCAACCTAATTTTTATCATGAAATTTACAACTCATTTAATAGAGCTACAGCCTATAACTTCAAGGGCATAGAAAGAAAAATTGTCAGGACAATTGTACACAAGAGGCATTAATTCACATCCATACAAAGGCAAATCAAGTAGCTATGATGGTCTTCATAACCAGAAAATAACACCCCATGTCCTTTTTGTAGCCTCTACTTTTCTGAAGATAAAAGTCTAAAGCTCTGTCTTGATTATGCACCGAGCCCTGTAGCAGTGCTATACATGAGCGCAGTCATTCGCAGTTACAGAGCCCTTTCACCCACATTATCCCATTTGACCCTCACACTGTCCTGATAACATATGCAGGGCAGTTAGCAGGACTGGCATTTTGCTTTTGAGGAAACTAAGGCTCAGTAGCCCAGGTCTCAGAGCTGATTAATGGAAATGTGAGGGCCTGAGTCCAGTCTTGTATCTCAATGCCTTTTTAGTTTATTAGCAACTCTACTAAAATGCCATGTATACTACGGACACTTCATTTTATCTCATATATGTATTGAGTATCAAGAGGAACAGATATGGCTATCAGATGTTAAATGAAGTTTCGCAGGGTATGTAAAGCAGATAGGCTCTAAAAGGTTATAGAAAATCTGCTTATTGGGGCTATATTTAAAACAATTAGGTGTGTAAGAATTTGAATTTGGCACTGGCGGACTTTTCAGCTAATGGATCCCAGCCTGCTGTGAAGAAGGAAACCACATGGGGCCAATGTAGAGAGGCCATCTTTGGCCCATTTATACAACACCCAGTATCTGGCAGAATGATGGTGCTCACTTCAATAAAGCATTTATTGAGTGCTACTCTGTGTTAGTTCCTGGGCTAGGTACTTTTACCTATTGATACTTTATCTCCATTTTTCCCAATAACGTTGAAAGACTTATTCCTACCTAACAGTTGGAGAAGCTAAAGATAAAGGAAGTTAAGTATTGTGCCCAAGGAGTGGTTGAGCTGGAATTCATTCAGATCAGGTGCTGACAGCAAAAAATCACACTACTGGTCTCTCACATCAAATCCTTCCTCCTCCTTCCCTGCCCCTCTTCTTTTCTCTTTGATTTCATCTTGGCTCTATTGTCATCAGCAGCAGCAGCATCTCCTGGATGGAGATACGTAGCTCTCCAACTTTCAAAAGAAACTTTCCCAACAGGGCACCACTCACTGTGGGTTTTATAACAAGTTCTTCTTTATTCTGCCTGTAGAAAGATCTCATTGCAAATGTAAATCCTGCAAATAATGCATCATGTTGTATATATCAATAACATGATCTCCTTGGGCTCTTGGTCAATTGTCAAGCTAATCTGAGATGCCTTTGAGGCACTGATGCAATGTATTTATTCTTTTCATTATAGGTGGGAAATTTTATTAAGAGCCAAAATCACTGAAATCTGAATAGAACACGGAGCTCCCTCCTCCCTTTTCTACTTCGTTGGGAAGAATCTATACCACTAAGGAATCTTACACACTTTGGTCGCCTCAGGCAGCAAATTCTTCTTCTGCACTATCTGAGCTGAGTAATATTGAGAAGCTAAAGGACACCTCCCTTTATGTACTCTTGAGCAATGGAAAATGAAAATAGTACCAGAAAAATTGAGTCCAGGCTGTTTCTTTAGGAAATTTGATGGTCTTGTATAATAAACCCTTAGACATGTCTGCCATAAACTCTGTCAACTGGCACCCAATTAACCAGAACACAGTGCTACCTGCTACTTTTCTAAATCTATATGTTATGACATGATAATAAATTGTCATAATTCCATCCAGTCATATCATCTGAATCATCAAAGAAAGATTAAATCATTTCACGTAGTTGGATGCTAAATAATACACTCTTTATATATATGTCTCTCAAGGAACAAGTTAATCAGAATATACTATTTTCTAATCATATCAAATAACTGCTATAAAAGGACCTGCTGCCCCAAATGCTATTTTACAATAAACTGTAAGTGGCTGCGTGCCTGGAATCTGCAACCAGACTGCCTGAGTTCAAATCCCCACTCTGGTACTTACTACCAGGTTGTTACTACCAAGTAACATCTTAAACAAGTAACTTATTCTCTCTGTTCTTTAGTTTCCTAATCTGTAAACTGAGGCTAATAACTCTATAAATTAATGACAAAGATTAATGTCTACTATATGTCTGTGCTATTACTATTGGCACATAGTAGGTACACAATACATATTTACTGAATTTTTAACTTCGAATTCCCATGTCATTTTCAGGATAGAAATGGTCCCAATTTTACAGAGAGAAAAATAGATATAAGGAAATTTATTCAATGATGGCTAAGAGGACAAAATCAGTCTCCAGGTTTTCAGAAAAATAACTTCCATCCAAAATATAATACTATCTTCAATAAAATTAATAGGCCATTGTTTTGCCTTTTTATACAATCAGTGCTCTAAGCTGAAAAGATCCTGCAGGATCAGGTAGTTTACCTGCTATGCTGCTTCTGTTTCTGCTGAGAGACACAATTACTGGATTTAAAGAGGAGACGTAAGTAAATGCCTTGGGAAGAACCACAGAATGGTCCCCTCTGATCACAGTCACATTCACTGTAGGTCCATCTTCCCCCTGAAAAATTAATTTTTAAAATCAAAACTCTGGGGACTCCCCTGGTGGTCCAGTGGTAAAGAATCCACCTTCCAATGCAGGGGACGCGGGTTCAATCCCTGGTCGGAGAACTAAGATCCCACATGCCGCGGCACAACTAAGCCCACGCGCCACAACTATTGAGCTCTTGCATCTCAACGAGAGAGCCCATGTGCTGCAAACTACAGAGCCCACTCACCCTGGAGCCCTTGCGCCACAACTAAAGAGAGAAAACCCACATGCCACAACTAGAGAGAAGCCCGGGTGCCGCAACGAAGAGACCACACACCATAACAAAAGGTCCCACATGCCTCAACGAAGATCCCGTGTGCCACAACTAAGACCCAACACAGCCAAAAAATTAAGGAAAATAAATAAATAGTTTTTAAAAAATAAAATAAAAACTCTGTAAATAAGACTGAGTTGAGCAAAGTCCATACAGAATTAGTTTAAAGGGTTAATTTCAAGAAAATTGTTTTTAAAGACTATATTTGCTACTTTGAAGTCTCTCTCTGTGTCTCTCTGTGTCTCTCTGTCTCTGTCTCTCTCACATGCACACACACTCACAGTGACAAGTGCTTAGAATAGGCAAGTGCAGCATCCAACAGATTAAAGAGTAAAGAAGAATGATTTGCAATTAACACACCAATTGGTTCTGCAAAAAAAACGCAATTTCAAATAAACATCTATATCTAGCTAAACTACCCATCAAGTGTGAGAGTACTTTGAGATACTTAAGTACTAAGAAAACTTCCCTCCCACATTTTCTTTCTTGGGATATTTCTTAAGGCTATTATCTTACAAAATAAGCAATAACCAAAAAAAGAGAAAAAAAACTCCAAGAAACAGTGAAGCTACTCAGGAGAGCAGTCAAGGGAATAAATCTAGAAAACACCAAGTTAGATTGAAGCAGAAGAAGAGGGAGCTTCAACAAAAAAAAGCAACTGATATAATGAAATATTTTTTAAGACAGAGAATTTTTATAATAAGGAAGACATGTAAAAAAAAAAACTCTAGGGACTTCCCTGGTGGCACAGTGGTTAAGAATCCGCCTGCCAATGCAGGGGACACAGGTTTGAGCCCTGGTCCAGGAAAATCCCACATGCCGCGGAACAACTAAGCCCATACGCCACAGCTACTGAGCCCGCATGCCACAACTACTAAGGCCCACACGCCTAGAGCCCGTGCTCCGCAACAAGAGAAGCCACCACAATGAGAAGCCCATACACCACAACGAAGAATAGCCCCCACTCACCGCAACTAAAGAAAGCCCACGCACAGCAACGAAGACCCAACACAGCCCCAAAAAAAACAAATAAATAAATTTATAAAGTAAAAAACTCTAAGAAAAAGACAAACTATAAAAAATATATATTGCCTGATTCTGTCAGTATCATTCAAATAGTTTAATAATGTAAATATGGTTTATTGATTTAACCAACAAATGACACTGTAACTATATTCAAAGGAATTTAAAGTGGTTGTTTCAGAAAGGGGGACTGAAGAATGGGGAAGTGGGTATGAGAGAGTATGATTGTCTTACTATTTTCTTTTGAACTTTGCATGTATTGCTTTGTTCAATTAAAAGTTGGCTTTCCTAATTTTTATTCTCTCTAGTAAAAGAAATTCAAACAGTACAAATTTTACCCATTAAAATAGTAAATATAGCTAAAGTGCTGATACTCAATGTTGGCCAAGGCACCAGAAATCAGACACCCACACAGCGATGGTGAGAGTATTATTTAAAAAGAGTTTCAGACAACTGGATATCCATGTCAAAAGCTTTATACCTCTGTGCTGTTGTTGTTGGCACATAGTAAGTACACAGGAAATTTTGGAAATTATCTAAATGTCCAATAATGGGAAATATACAAATTATAACACAAACATATTAGAATTGCATGCAGTTTATATATAAAAGCTAACATTTAATAATATTTGAATAACTGGAGGAGATAAAAATATGGGACCAGAGATCAAAGATTACTCTGAACCCTCTCTTCTTCCAGAGATCTTTATTGTTCAGCAGACAGCCTTCTTTGGGGGTCATGGATGTGCTAGGAATCTTGATGGCACTGAAGTGAACTCTGAATAGAGCATGACTCTCACCCACAGCACCAGGGAAGGGTCTGGACCAAAAACTCTTATGCCATCTATGGGATAGCACCAGCTGAAGAGGGATGGGAAAGCTAAGGGACTTGTTTTTAAGAAACAAGGGAAGCAGTAGGGACTAACTAGGAAGCTATTTCATAGGAACCAGACATTCTAGAGGATTCCAAGTTCCACCAGTCACATCCATGCCAGAAAACAAAATTGCTAATGAAAACTAAGTTATTTGTTTACTTGAGAAAGAAGCATGATTCTAAGATATATGTCTTGCAAACCAACACTCAGAATGTGCACTAGGTAAATATATTTATTCTGTGGCACTAATACTCATTAAGAGTATGGACTGGGACTGCCTGGTTGTCTTCTTTTAAAAGAAATTAACTGATGCTAATTACAAGCCCCATTGGCGGGGTCAGCTTCCCAGTTCATAACAGAAGTGCTTCCATGTAAGCAACATAAGCATGCTCTCATGATGAAAACGTCATGTCCATTAACTTAGTTCTAAGGAACGATTCACTGACAACCTTACACTACATGTTAACAATGGTCACTCACTCAGAGAGGAAATGCCAAAAGATTCCACTTACCTTGGGTGGAACTTTGCATTGAATTCTTCGTGAATTGCTTGTGGTGACATTAATGGCACAAAACTGGGATCCAAATAAAACCAGGCTAACATCTTCCAAACTAGAGCCTCGGATGGTGGCCCAGAGCCCTCCTGTACAAAAGCAGCATTTTCAGATAGGACACACAGCCGTACAGACAGACAACAATTAATTATCCACAAGAGAAATAAATGAAATCAAAATATGAAACTCCTTAGTCAAAACACAAGGCATGTTCAAACTGAAGAAAAAGACTAAAGTTAAAAATATCAACTACTAAATGAGATGGGAGATACAGTGACTGAAGGGCAGAGAGAAGGAGATATTTAAGAATAAAACATAGAGATAAAACACAGACATGGAACAGAGAAGTAGAGTATCAATAGATGGTCTCTGGAAACTGCTTCTGCTCCAGATTTCTGAACATCATCCCTGCCAATTCTATAAAACATACTCTCTTCCCAAGAAACCAGTATAAGAGAGCAAGTATAAGACAGTAGATAGAGCAGGGGGCCCAGAGTCAGGGCTATAGACTGCTCTACCACTTAGAGCAGGTCATTTGCATTATTGTCCCTGAGTTCACTGGTCCTCATCTCCCTCAACTTTTTTTTTTTTTTGGCCATGCCACTCGGCTTGCAGGATCTTAGCTCCCCGACCAGGGATTGAACCCGGCCCTCAGCAGTGAAAGCTCAGAGTCCTAACCACCGGACCACCAGGGAATTCCCACTCCCTCATCTTTAAATGACAGCCTTAACCCTTCCAGCTTTGTGATTCGATACCACACAGACTATGTTCTGGTCTCCATAATGATATAGAAGGGACTGTCATTGTCACCAAGTGCCGCCAGGATTTCTGTACTGACCACTGAGGAGGAGCAACCACAGAAATCCCCATCTCCTCACCACAAACGTCAGTAAGAGAAGGAATGGCACCAATCGCACTGATATCACGGCACACAATACCATTTGGAGGACCAGCCCTTGATCCAGCTGATGGACAGGAAGCCCACTTATTGTTGATCAGCAACGATTCTGGTCTGCCATCTTTCCAGAAAGGGATATAAAAGAGGCAGTGAAGCCACCAAATGGAGACACATATCCCATGCCAGTGGGGAGAGGCCACAGAAGCAAGGTTGTCATTCCCCAATGTGTCAGGGTGAGATAGGAAATTTATACAACCTGATGAAACTCTTGCAGGAGCATGTGACTAAGTGGAATATTACCCTGAAGTTAAATATATAAACATGCCCTTAAGATTCAGGACAAGACTACAATAAACTTCTAAGTTAAAGAATAACATTGAGGAAGAGCCAACATACATTAGCAACATAAAAGATACTATATCTGGAAACAATCTTGACAAGAACAATTCAAGAGTATGAAGAAATGTGAAGAAAGCTTTGAAATGCTGCTGACAAACGTAACAGATGAGTTAAAACTTAAATAAGAAAACTAAAGTAAACGTATGGAAAGAGTTAACATTGTAAGGTGGCATATCTTTCTTTTTTTTTCTTTTTGAATTTTATTTTATTTTTTATACAGCAGGTTATTAGTTATCTATTTTATACATATTAGTGTATACATGTCAATCCCAATCGCCCAATTCATACCACCACCACCACCACCCCCCCACCTGCCACTTTCCCTCTTGGTGTCCATACGTTTGTTCTCTACATCTATGTCTCTACTTCTGCCCTGCAAACCGGTTCATCTGTACCATTTTTTTAGATTCCACATATATGCGTTAATATACTATGTTTGTTTTCCTCTTTCTGACTTACTTCACTCTGTATGACACTCTCTAGATCCATCCACGTCTCTATAAATGACCCAATTTCATTCTTTTTTATGACTGAGTAATATTCCATTGTATATATGTACCACAACTTCTTTATCCATTCATCTGTCAATGGGCATTTAGGTTGCTTCCATGACCTGGCTATTGTAAATAGTGTTGCAATTAACACTAGGGTGCACGTGTCTTTCTGAATTACCGCTTTCTCTGGGTATATGCCCAGTAGTGGGGTTCCTGGGTCATATGGTAGTTCTATTTTTAGTTTTTTAAGGAACCTCCATGCTGTTCTCCATAGTGGCTTATCAATTTACATTCCCACCAACAGTGCAACAGGGTTCCCTTTTCTCCACACCCTCTCCAGCATTTCTTGTTTGTAGATTTTCTGACGATGCCCTTTCTAACTGGTGTGAGGTGATACCTCATTGTACTTTTGATTTGCATTTCTCTAATAATTAGTGATGTTGAGCAACCTGTCGTGTGCTTCTTGGCCACTGTATGTCTTCTTTGCAGAAATATCTACTTAGGTCTTCTGCTCATTTTTTGATTAGGTTGTTGTTTTACTATTGAGCTGCATAAGCTGTTTATATATTTTGAAGATTAATCCTTTGTCCGTTGATTTGTTTGCAAATATTTTCTCCCATTCTGAGGGTTGTCTTTTTATTTTTGTTTTTATTTCCATTACTCTAGGAAGTAGATCAAAAAAAGATCTTGCTGTGATTTATGTCAAAGAGTGTTCTTCCTACGTTTTCCTCTAAGAGTTTTATAGTGTCCAGTCTTGCATTTAGGTCTCTAATCCATTTTGAGTTTATTTTTGTGTATGGTGTTAGGAAGTGTTCTAATTTCATTCTTTTACATGTAGCTATCCAGTTTTCCCAGCACAACTTATTGAAGAGGCTGTCTTTTCTGCACTGTATATCCTTGCCTCCTCTGCCATAGATTAGTTGACCATAGGTGCGTGGGTTTATCTCTGGGCTTTCTATCCTGTTCCATTGATCTATATTTCTGTTTTTGTGCCAGTACCATACTGTCTTGATTACTGTAGCTTTGTAGTATAGTCTGAAGTCAGGGAGTCTGATTCCTCCAGCTCCGTTTTTTTCCCTCAAGACTGCTTTGGCTATTTGGGGTCTTTTGTGTCTCCACACAAATTTTAAGATTATTTTGTTCTAGTTCTGTAAAAAATGCCACTGGTAATTTGATAAGGATTGCACTGAATCTGTAGAATCCTTTGGGTAGTACTGTCATTTTCACAATATTGATTCTTCCAATCCAAGAACATGGTATATCTCTCCATCTGTTTGTGTCATCTTTGATTTCTTTCATCAGTGTCTTATAGTTTTCTGCATACAGTTCTTTTGTCTCCTTAGGTAGGTTTATTCCTAGGTATTTTATTCTTTTTGTTGTAATGGTAAATGGGGTTGCTTCCTTAATTTCTCTTTCTGATCTTTTGTTGTTAGTGTATCGGAATGCAAGAGATTTCTGTACATTAATTTTGTATCCTGCAACTTTACCAAATTCATTGATTAGCTCTAGTAGTTTTCTGGTGGCATCTTTAGGATTCTCTATGTATAGTATCATGTCATCTGCAAACAGTGACAGTTTTACTTCTTCTTTTCCAATTTGTATTCCTTTTACTTCTTTTTCTTCTCTGATTGCCATGGCTAGGACTTCCCAAACTATGTTGAATGGTAGTCTTAAGAGTGGACAACCTTGTCTTGTTCCTGATCTTAGAGGAAATGCTTTCAGTTTTTCACCATTGAGAATGATGTTTGCTGTGGGTTTGTCATATATGGCCTTTATTATGTTGAGGTAGGTTCCCGCTATGCCCACTTTCTGGAGAGTTTTTATCATAAATTGGTGTTGAATTTTGTCAAAAGCTTTTTCTGCATCTATTGAGATGATCATATGGTTTTTATTCTTCAGTTTGTTAATATGGTGTATCACATTAATTGATTTGCGTATATTGAAGAATCCTTGCATCCCTGGGATAAATCCCACTTGATCATGGTGTACGATCCTTTTAATATGTTGTTGGATTCTGTTTGCTAGTATTTTGTTGAGAATTTTTGCATCTATACTCATCAGTGATATCGGTCCGTAATTTTCTTTTTTTGTAGAATCTTTGTCTAGTTTTGGTATCAGGATGATGAGTTAGAATGAGTTTGGGAGTGTTCCTTCCTCTGCGATTTTTTGGAAGGGTTTGAGAAGGATGGGTGTTAGCTCTTCTCTAAATATTTGATAGAATTCACCTGTGAAGCCATCTGGTCCTGGACTTCTGTTTGTTGGAAGGTTTTTAATCACAATTTCAATTTCATTACTTGTGATTGGTCTGTTCATATTTTCTATTCCTTCCTGGTTCAGTCTTGGAAGGTTATACCTTTCTAAGAATTTGTCCATTTCTTCCAGGTTGTCTATTTTATTGGCATAGAGTTGCTCATAGTAGTCTCTTACAAAACTTTGTATTTCTGCGATGTCTGCTGTAACTTCTTTTTCATTTCTAATTTTATTGATTTGAGTCCTCTCCTTCTTTTTCTTGATAAGTCTGGCTAAAGGTTTGTCAATTTTGTTTATCTTCTCAAAGAACCAGCTTTTGGTTTTATTGATCTTTGCTATTGTTTTCTTTGTTTCTATTCTACTTATTTCTGCTCTGATCTTTATGATTTCTTTCCTTCTACTAACTTTGGGTTTTGTTTGTTCTTTTTTCTCTAGTTCCTTTGGGTGTCAGGTTAGATTGTTTATTTGAGATTTTTCTTGTTTCTTGAGGTAGGCTTGTATTGCTATAAACTTCCCTCTTAGAACTGCTTTTGCTGCCTCCCATAGGTTTTTGGATCGTCGTGTTTTCATTGTCATCTGTCTCTAGGTATTTTTTGATTTCCTCTTTGATTTCTTCAGTGATCTCTTGGTTATTTAGTAACATATTGTTTAGCCTCCATCTGTTTGTGTTTTTTACGTTTTTTTCCCTGTAATTCACTTCTAATCCCATAGCGTTGTGGTCGGAAAAGATGCTTATGATTTCAATCTTCTTAAATTTACCGAGGCTTGATTTGTGACCCAAGATGTGATCTATCCTGGAGAATGTTCTGTGTGCACTTGAGAAGAAAGTGTAATCTGCTGTTTTTGGATGGAATGTCCTATAAATATCAATTAAATCTATCTGGTCTATTGTGTCATTCAAAGCTTGTGTTTCCTTATTAATTTTCTGTCTGGATGATCTGTCCACTGGTGGAAGTGAGGTGTTAAAGTCCCCCACTATTATTGTGTTACTGTCGATTTCCTCTTCTACAGCTGTTAGCAGTTGCCTTATGTATTGAGATACTCCTAT